ATTTCTGAAGAAGGGTCTAGGCCCGAAACGTCAGCCTTCCTGCTCCTCTGATGCTGCTTGGCCTGCTGTGTTCATCTGGTTCTACACCTTGTTATCTCAAATTCTCCAGCATCTGCAGTTCCTACTATCTCTGAAAAAACTTTAATAGCTACTTGTGTAGTGAAGTTTGTGTCACAGAAAAGAGGTTTCTACAGACTATTTTGCCTCACACACAATCACTTCTGTCATTTATTGCCACCTGCTTTCCACCCCATTAGTTCTTTCCTCCATTTCCTTGCCTGAAACCTGATCCACCTCAAACTTTTACCAGTGCTATAAAGTTCACTGGGATGAAACACTCGCTTTGCTTCTCTCCAGAATCACCTTGAAATATTTTATTAAGGATCCATATTATTTTCCTTTGGTTAACTTGTGTAGGGTGGCACAACGGTTAGCACTGCTGCCTCATAGCGCCAGGGACAAGGACTCAATTCCAGCCTCGATGACGGTGGTGTTTGCCCTGCATTTTGCGTGGGTTTCTGCCGAGTGCTCCAGTTTCCTCCCACAGTTCAAAAGATATGCAGGTTAGGTTGATTGGCCATGATAAATTGCCCTGTAGCATACTGGGACATGCAGACTAGCCATGGCAAATGCAGGGTTACATGCACAGGATGGGATGCTCTTCAGAGGATCAGAGCAGACGCAATGGGCCCAACAGTTTCTACGTGCACTGTGGGGATTCTACTTGTGTATACCCCAGATGCTGCATCTCTTCAACACGTCTATTTACAACAAAACCCACTTCCTCACAATGCAGGAAAGGAGGCACCAACACAAAGTTGGAGGACACTAGATCTGCACACCAGTCTACTTTTCTCTTCCTTCTAAAAAGAAAAAGACCAGTTGAGAAAGTGCCACTTGCATTCACAAACTTGTACTCCTGAAAGTGTGGAATAATCATAGAGGCCATGTTAATCATTCATTTTGGGCAGCACGTGTACCAGAACGAAAGGCCACTTTCAAACAGGTCAAAGTTAATTTTGCATTGATTTGGAAACAAAATAACCTTATGGGGGGGGCGGGGAAGAAAGAGTACATGCCTTTAAATTATTTGAATCTTAAATTCCAGAAGACGACATTACCAGACCCCCGAAAAATAATTAACACGAGCAGGCTGATAGGAATATCACATGTTCGGTCTTATTGCGACACAAACAAGTTTAACACTTTCTTTTCGAGCGGAGCTTTGTTTTTCCATCCCTGGACATGGTCGGCGAAAAAGACTAATAACATTAAAAAAAAAAGAAACTGCGAATGCTAGAAAAACTCAGCATCCGCAAGGAGAAAATAAGAGTTAACATTTCGGAAACAAAAACCGAAGTTGCCGGAAAAGCCCAGTAGGCCTGGCACCAGCTGTGAAGAGAAATCAAAGTCAACGTGTCGGGACCGTTGACCCTTCCTCAGATCGGATGGTAACCCGACACGTTGACTCTGATTTCTCTTCACAGATGCTGCCAGGCCTGCTGAGCTTTTCCAGCAACTTCGGTTTTTGTTTGATTTGCAGCAACCGCAGGTCTTTGGGTTTTTTTTTAAAGTTAACATTTTGGGTGCAGTGACCCTCCTTCGGCCCTGATAATAGCCACATGGTATAGCACGTGGTGAGGTAGCTTTGAAGCATTTCCTAGTTCCGCAAAAAAAAACGCTACTAAACTGGCGTTTCTAAGAGGCGAAAATAAGCCTATAGATAGTAAAGGGATTTTATTAAAAGGTTTGTCGTGTGTTTGGGTTACACGTGCCGAGGATTTGGACTTGTGCCCCCTCGCCATGCTTCTTCCTCCCTACTCTCACATCCAACTCCCACCGTCAGCGTGCTTTAAATAAAGAGAAAACAAAATGAGCGCCAAGGAGGAAAAAGGGACTTAAAACTTGGTGTGGGGTAAAGGGAACACTCGGGGAGAGGAAAAAAAAATCAAACGGACGAACTGAGACCAGGTTAAACCCGAAACGAGAGAAGATGAAGAAAACTTGGACAGTGAAAGGGAAAGAAAAATTCCTCTCTCCCGCCTGGACATTGACCTTCACCAGGCGCCATTACCCGCCCCGCTGTTCCCGGGTCCCTTTTAAGTTCTCTTTCCTCGTCATTAACGGGGAGGCGGGGAAAACAAAAATAAATACACTTTTTTTTTAAAAAAAACGTTAAATTAAACTCCGGCGGCTAGTCGTCGCCGTCAACCTCAAAGGCCGCCCGCGCACGCGTTGAAGGGAAAAACTTTGGTCTCCAAACTCAAGGTAAGGCTTCGGGGCCTACTCTCCGGCCTCTTACCCGATCTCGTCGCCGCCCTGGTTGTTCATGGCGGCGGGTGGGGAGGAAACGGGGCTGTCGGCGCGGCTCGACGGCAAGGCGGTTTCTCGGTGTTGGTCGGCCGTTTTCTCCGATTTTCAATGGAGCTCTCTCTGTGCCGGTCTGTATGTCTTTTCTTTCCCCCCCTCTTTCCGCCGGAGCTAACGGGTCCGGTCGCCGAGCGGGTCGGATCGATTAGCACTCCTCCTTTCACTTTATTTTTCTTTCCTCCTACCCCCCACCACCGCCTCCACCACCACCTCCAACAGCAGCACCGCCGGCGGCTGCTTCGGCGCCTGCGCTTCACCAACACTGAGAGGGACAGACAGAGTGAGCGACCGAGAGCGGCTATGACGGTGGGGGAGGGGAAAAGGGGGGGAAAAAAATCCCAACCGACGCTGAAACTGCGCAACAACCGCAGCGCTACGGGGTTTCCCGCACTGCACGTCAGAGCGTCTCCATGGCAACTCGCCATCCGGGACCCTCCGAGTGGCGGGACCGGGCCGCGTCGTCCGCCGGGAGTTGTAGTTTTCCTTTGCCGCGGCCGCCATGCTTGGACTTCCTTTTACGGGGAGGAGGAGAAGGAAACGTCAAATTCGTCGGCAGTACGTGTGTTTTGTATTATTTCCTTTCTGCCGAAATTTGAATTGTGGTCGCCCGTTAGATAGGCGACGCCCGATTCGCACACGACAAACCATCCCCGACAACGACAGGAAAAAAAAAACACGCCCCACGCAACTGCGAACGCTGGAAATTAGGACAAGAAAACAAATTTTGTGGAAAACTCAGCAGGCAACCTTCCTCTCCGTAAATCCTGCTGAGTTTCCCCCGTGATTTCTGTTTTGGTTCCCCCACAACGATGAACACCGACTTGCATTCATGTAGCGCCCTCCGCAACCTCTGCCCGTCTGGAAGTACTTATTCCCTTCCCCGCGGTCAGTGTAGTGTAGAAATTGTGGTCAGGTACAAAACCTTGCAGTCCCACAAGCAACGCAGAAAATAAAACTTTCCTTTGCAAAGTATCTTTTACAACCACTGCAGTCTTAAAACACTTTACGGAGTCCTAGAGTTTTATTGCACCGAAAAATGACCTTGAGCCCATCCTGTCCGTAACAGTAGTCAAACACATCTATTTTCGTACCATTTTCCAGCAGTTGGCCCATGGTGTTTCAACTGCACATTTTATGCGTCTTAAACGCCCGAAGGGTTCCCACATCTACCCTTTTTTTGCAGTGAGCTCCTGATACCCACCATTCTCTGGCTGAAAACATTTTCCTTCTAAACTTCCAGCTCCTTACCTTGAAAAGGTGACCTCTGGAATTAACCCCTTACTAATAAAGTATTCTTCAAACTCCTTCACCTAATTTAGGAAATATGGCAATCAATTTGCACACAGCCAAGCTTACTCTAATTACTGAGTGTAAGTTCTGTACCTTGGCAGATGCTTGGTTCTTGGGCAAGTGTAGCTATCAAGGTGGGAAGCAGGCTGTTTTTCTTCTGCCTTCATTGGAATGAAACATCAGGCTGGATTTGTACCTGGAGGCTGGTGTGCTAAGAATTTGCCTAAGTAGCAAACTGAAAACTAGCCAGTGTGGTAGTTGAAATGTGCGAACACTCATTGATGGCACATTTTTCAGCATCACAATATATAAACACGTAACCACACCTAAGAGAAGAAAATGAAATAGCACCTTTCACAATTTTAATGTTCCAAATTGTCTTTAGAGTCTCTGAAGTGTAGTCATTGTAATATGAAAATCATGGTAGATACACTAAGCTCCCACAAACAGCAAACAATAACAATCAGATAAGCTTTTATCTATTATTTGAAGGTTAAATATTGGCCAACAATAGCAAAGAGAACTCCCCTGCTTATTTTCAAATTCTTGCCATGGAATCTTTACATCCAGCTGAGAGGGCAAACAGGATGAAGGTTTTATATCTCTTCCAGAAGCTGCCACAAAAATTTGCAGTCCAATCTGAGATTCCAATCTAATGATTTTAATTGTCATTTTCCTTTTTTATTTCACTTATTTTAGTTTGTTGTTAATTCGCCTGCCCTAGCTTGAATCTTTATTGTGTGACCCTAATTAGCAATTAAAGAATTCAGGTGGCCATTCAGGCCATGGTGCCTCCATTAATTTACCTTTGGTTTTTGTTCCCCTTTCGAAACTTTCCTATTGAATTTGCTTCCAGCTCCTTTTCAGGCAGCGTATTCCTGAACACTGGTTAGGGAGAATTACCTCAACTTGTCTTAGAAATTCCCTCTTTGAATTTCTCTAAACTCTCCTTCCTTCAGGTTCTCCGTAAACCCATGTCTTTACAAAACGTTTGGTTATCTGTCCTCAGGGATAGTAAGAACTGCAGATGCTGGAGTCAGAGATAATACAGGGTGGAGCTGAAGGAACACGGCAGGCCAGGCAGCATTAGAGGAGCAGGAAAGTTGATGTTTTGCGTCGGACCCTTCTTCATCTGTCCTGATATCTTATGTGATTGCAAGTAAAATTTGGTTTGATAATGTCATTGTGGAGCACCGAGAAGATGTTTTATTACCGTGTTGTTCATTACAAGTACAGTAGCCTCAAGTGAACAAGACAAATTTAAAGGTGTAAAATAAATGTATTTTGTTGTTATTCATTTGGTTTAGACCCCAGGATGATGCTGCACATTTAACTGAATAAAGATAAGGCAACTAACAGAAGACAGTTTTAGGACTATTATCAGGAATGTTTTGAGTGATGGACCTGGACCTGTTTGGAGCAACCTCAATCGAGTCACAAACCATTGCTGCCAGGAAAGAGTTGAAAGTCTGAGGCCCAGGAACAAGAATGTGCTGGTTCCTTGCAAATTTCCAGTTTGGGGCGAGCCTTCCGGAGTACGTGGCTGCTGCTGAGGAGAGAGAGAGAGAGCAGTTTCACCAAAGAACAATCTGTGCTGGAAGTGAAATTGTTGAACAGGCAATGCACTTATTTATTTGTATTTAGTTTGCAGAAATTCAAAGAAAAATGTAGAGAAAGGGGCTGAGAGAATGAGTTAAAAGACACAAATTTACAAGCGCTTCAGATGATTTTCAAGATTGCTTCTTCAAATACTGTGACTGTGAAATTAGAAAATAATTTTTCCTTTGTTATTGGACACATTAGAGGTTAATTTTTTTCCTAGAATGTCTTTAATAAGACAAATTAGATAGTACTTTGCCTCTTTCGTGCTTCAATCATAGCTGCATATGAGTTTGCCTAAATGACGTTCCTTATGGACAAGATCCTCTGAATTGTTGACAGTGCAAGGGACGTCAAAAATCTGTTCCTTCGCTGCTTGAGCTAGTAATGCTTATTCTTATATTAAAAGCATGTAGTATATTTGCCTGGAAGTTTGACCCCTGAGTAATTGGATGGTGAATCTAAAATGGATTCTATAGAACTAAATATAATTTAATTTCCTCCTCTGCCAAAGAGACCACTGGGGACAGTCAGTTGCATAGTGACATACAAAACAAGGTCCCAATGGTTAAGGACGCCACTTTTGAGATATCAGCAGCGACTATATCCGTAGCATAGGTGATGAGAGAGAAAGGGGACACTCATAAATGCAAATTAATAATATCTTTTCATTTAAGTCAGAGTTTTACAACACAAGGAGAGGCCTTTTGGCATATCATTGTCTGCGCCAATCATCAAGCACCCATCTACTCTAGTCCCATTTTCCAGCACATAGCCTATAAATTGTATGCTGTGGTGCATCAAGTGATCACCTAAATACTTAAAAATGTCGTGATGATTCACAACTCTACCACCCTTTCAAGTAGTGAGTTACAAATACCCACCATCTTCTAGGTGCAAACATTCTTAACTTCCTGACTGGCACAGACTCAATGGGAAGAAGGGTGTATTTTTTGGGCTGTAAACCTCAAGGACTCTATGAACAAATCTCCTCTAAACCTCTTGCTCTTTATCCTAAATCTGTACTCCCTTGTTATTGACCCTTCAACTACAAGGAACAGCTGCTTTCTATCTACCTTGTCCATGTCCCTTATAATGCTGTACATCTCAATCAGGTCCTCCGTCAGCCTTCTCTGCTCCAAGGAAAACAACCCCAGCTTGTCTAGTCTCTCTTAATAACTGAATGCTACAGCCTAGGAAACATTTTTGCAAATCTTTTATATACTCTGTCTAGTGTGACCACATCCTTCCTTCACATCTTTTCCTAGTAGTGTGGTGACCAGAACTACACTCAGTACTCCAGTTGTGGCTTACATAACATCATATTCTCCCTGCTCTCATAAAGACAAGTAAACAATGTGTCTTCTTGACCAACTTACTCATCTAGTCTGTTCCTTCAAGGACCTATGAAAATGCATGCCAAGGTCTCTTTGTATTTGCAAATGGTGTTGGAGACATAGTAAAAGCTTCTGATAGCTGTGACTTCACATTTCCTAAATGCTTACTTCTCCTCCAGAAGTAAAGTTTGTCCAATTCAAGGCAGCCCAAGACCCCCGGCCCACCGATACCACAAGTGAAATTATGTTGAAAAGGGACAGTGAGGAATGTATGACTCAATGGATGACCCAGCTTCTTGTCCACAGGAGCAGGAAGAAGAAGCAAAATTCTCCAGGTTGTAGCAAATACCTGAACTTCCCCCTATCCCTCACCCAAACACAGCTTCAGAAGAGGGATAAAAAGATCTCAAAGCTGTATCAAAACATTGAGAGACTGAAAAAAGAGAGGGCAGCCAGTGCCAGTGGGTGGAACCGCTTGAGGCTCAGAATAAAAAGCTTGGAAAAACACTTCCAGAATTGGGTAACTTATTTATTTTGTACATTATTTTCAGCTCCTTCTGTGTCTAAAACATCATTGAATGGAGGGAGAGAGATACCTAAATTCGCTTTGGCTCAGTGGCCTCCTGGAATGATACTAATGATTTTCCATGTTTGCAATGAGGAACAGAGGTCCTAATTACAGGAGCCCCCAATATCAAAGGATATTCAACCCAAAATGCTCTCAAACCTTGGAGATACAGTTGACAACCTGTACTCTCCAACTGATGGTAAGGTAAGTAATCTTATGATTTCAGAGCAGCACCTTAATTGTGCCTTTTAAGCAGAACTGCATGTAGAAGTAGATAGTACTGACTGCAGTGTTAAACCTGCCTCACTAGCACTGCACCTTAATCACTTGCAGTAGGTGACATACTTAGTGTTTTAAATGTACAATGCTGAGCTGTCCCTAACTTTGCTTCCAGGAGCAATTATTAAATGGGATTGAGTTCCCAAAAGAACTCTGGAGTTCTGTCCACAACCAGAGGACAAATTCTTTAAGTCCCTAGCTGTTGGCATCTGAGGCTCCGATACACTCTGGGAGAGGTTGATTTGGGGGACACCCCACCCACGGTTCATGAACCATGGGGATACTGCAAAGCTGGGGTTTTCACCCCAAAAGTTGAATGCAGTCAAAGGTATTCACTCAAATAACACATTAAATTAAATTGTTATTTCTTTGTCTCATTTGCCAGTTTTTGGGTGTTCCATTTTGTGCTGTGGCTAAAGACTTAAATAAATCCCTTGCTTAATACTTCTCTTCATCCACCACCATATTGCCTGTGCCACCTCCACATCCAAGGATTAAATGAAGAAGCAGTGACAAAAGAAAGTCAGAAGCTGAATAAGTATACTTCAGAAAAAAATGAGACCTCAACAAAAAATGATTTCTTAAGATGAATTTCTCTGAATATAATGAAATTATTTGCTAAAATTACTTTTTATTTGATTTTTGTAACATTTGTTTTTTCAATAAAACTTTGGAACTTACAGCTACAGTCAGTTTCTCTTGGATTCTTCATTACTTAAATACAAACCTCCTAGGGATAGACCTGAGTTAATTGTTGCCAACAGGTCTCAATTTCTGGTTGCCAACTGCTGAGTACAGTGGCAATTGAACTGCTTTTTTTTACTCTGGAATACACTGGTTTTTGGGTTAAGGATTAATAAAAGTGTAGAGACCAAACAGACTTAAATTCAATTCAGTGCATCACATAGGTATTTGTAGCATATGTTGTTACAGTTTAAGACTATAAGTCCTATCAGTAACAACAACTTGCATTTCTAAACTTGTCCTTAATATATTAAATGGTCCCAAGACATTGCGCAGAAAAATACAGCATCAATACAAAAGTGAAGAAGGAGAGCTGACTAAAAACCCAGATTATTATCTTCTTTCCAAACCATTTTGATATCTTGATCAATCTGAGTTAACATGCTTGGAGGGAAGTAGAGGAAAAATCATTTGAATGATTGGAAGTAAAAGACACCATCAGTGTTATTGACAATCCAACTTTCAACACAGATACCTCTGCATGTACCACAGTGAAGTAAATGGGAACAGTTTCATGTGCCAAGTTAAAAGAAGACTAAAAATACATCTCATGAATGACCTTATTTTAATAATCTACGTAGTCACAATTGAAGCATTTAAGGCATGAGATTTGAAAATCCTAAGTAGATAGATTTTGGTAAACTGAGCTATGTTTATTCTTAATTATTGTTTATGAAGACAAGTTGTAATTATGAACCTTGAAGAATATACATAAGATGCAGGAACAGAAATAGGCCATTCAACTCATCAAATGGCACAGCAGATTTGATGAAATCATGGCTAATCTGATCATCCTCAACTACACTTGCTTGCCTTTTCCTGATAACCCCTTGATTTTCTTACTGATTAGAAACCTTTCTGTTTAGGCTTTGACATACTTAATGAGCTAGCGCTGCAGTAAAAAAAGTTCCACAAATTCACTAACTTTTGAGAGAATAAATTCCTGCTGTGTCTTAAATATGTGACGCCAATTCTGAAATTATGCCCTCTGGTCATAGATTCCCATGAGGAGAAGCACCATTTCTGCATTCACCCTGTCAAAGGTCTCTTAGAATCTCGTATGTTTCAATGAGGTTGCCTCTCATTATTCTAAACTGGAATGAGTACAGCCCCAATGTACTCAACCTCTCCTCATAAGACAGTCAACCTAGTGAACCTTGTGTGGACTGCTTCCAATGTCAGTACAGTGTATCTTTTCTTGGATATGGGGTCCAAAACTGATTACAGTATTCCAGCTTTAGACTGACTAGTGCCTCGTCAGAAGGAAGGGTCATTGGACTCGAAACATTAACTCTGATTTCTTTCTACAGATACTGAGCTTTTCCAGCAATTTTTGTTTATGACTTCTATTAGTTAGCTAATTTTCTATCCATCGTTTTAATGACATCTTCCAAGTGCTTCCAAGATCCTTAATTCCCAGTCCTTAATGGGTTAATAGGTAAAGTTTTCATAGTCCTATTAGACCATTGAGCTGCTGCAACATTGGAATGAGACAACTGGTGGTGCTTTAATCTGAGGGTCACCATGCTTCAGATGAAAGGAAAGGTTATGAAGGAGAATCCTCCATGATAACCTCAGCCAATGCAGATGTGAACCCACACTGTTAGCATCACTTTGCATTGCAAACCAGCTGCCCAGTCAGCTGACCCAACCAACCCCCCTATAGGTATTACCTATTCACTGTGCAGGTCAGTACAGAGTTTTATGTCATCGATTTTAGTATTAACACAATCAATAATGTCTATTTGATTAAGTGTGAAAGTTTATTTATCTTCTACATTAATTAGGAATTTATATTGTTTCCATAAAACTCATTGAGGATTACTGACAATGCATAAAGAGGAGTTGACTAAAGATGAATAAATTCATAACTTTTTAATTTCTCTTGATATAGTTGTACAGATATAGATTTTAAAACCAGGCCATTTAAATATAGCAGTTAGTTGGCCCAGCCAGTGTCACCAGTGGAATTAAAAACAGAAAATGCTGAGAACGCCCATCAGGCCGAAGCTGTGGAGAGATGAACAGTTACTGTTTCAAAGCAATGACCTTTCTTCGGAACTGCAAGTTGTTAGAGATGAAAAGATTCGAATCAAGTCTGTTGTCTGAAATAGGAACAAAGTGGGTGGAGGCCAGGAATGATTAAATGCCAAACGTGATGATAATGATGCAATGCAAAAGGAAGTGATAATCAGTCAAATATAGACACATATAAAGATCGAATGTTGTCAATGTGAAACATTAATTCTCTCTGATGCTGCCTGACCTGCTGAGTATTTCCATATTTAACCAGGGAAATAGTGCCTAAGCTGAGTGGGCCTCAATGGCAGAGGAAAATGGTGCAAAAAAAGCAGTTAGACCTACAGGCTATCCACTAACAAGGGATCCCCACCTCAAGCAAGGACTTCAACTCCTCTGCACCCTATGAATTTGGTTCCACCATTCTCCATGATGTCACAACGTATTTTTAAGTAGATGCCCTCAACATATGTCACATTGATTTTTATTGAAGTTATATAATGTCGATTTTTGATACGTTTTTGAATTCTACAGTCCAGGGACCTTTTAAAGCCATGATTGTCTTAAACAAAAGCAACAACATAACTCATGAGCTTTTGGAATGAATAGAGACAGAGCTGTTCTTTCAAACTGAGATGCACACAAAGAGGTTGCACTTTGATCCAAAAAAAAACACAAAGTAATTGTAATTGGGAATAAATAAAATTTGGTCTGTCTTTGTGTCTTGATCTGACATTTTGAGAAAAGGCAAAAAAAAACTCAGGCTATCTATCCTTTGATTTCTCTAACTTGTGTTCTTTGATTGCATGTGACCAACCAACTTCGTGATTTATAGCCTCTGAGCTATTTTCTCAAATGCATTTTGGCTCATACATCCATCAAATGACAATCCAGCATGTCACACTTGACAAGTGCATTCATAGGAATATCTATTGATTCAACACTGTGAGTCAGTTGTTGTCAATCAAACCAACTATGCAGCTGCCAATTGTTAAAAGTATTTTGTTTGACTAATTTAACATTATTTCTATGCAGTTTTGTACCTATTGTGTCGTGTAAAAGTTTGGTGGCATTTTTTTCATTTTTCTCCCCACTTCTACTGCTGACTCTTTCTTGGCATACAGTTCCACAGGTGATGGGTGTCCCTCGCTATCCCATTCTTATGATTTAGTTTTTCTTGCAGTACTTTACTGATCTGTGTGGCTCAGTTATTTACAGAATAATTCCTGTAAACCCCACATGTTGTTTTCTTTTCCAATTTATCTTCCCTCTCTTCTTGAAAGTGCTTACTCAGGCTGTGATGCCAGACATCAATTTTGTGATGCAAGACAAGCAAGACTTGATACTTTATAGTGTCTGGGCAATGTTTACAGAGCATAACAGAGTTAATTTTACCCCCATTAGGCCTTGTTAACAGTTGTGGAACAAGTGCCTAAATTTCACCAAACCCACCATGGGCTCTCACCCATGTTCTTATTATCCAATTACAGAAATCCCATGCATAAGAGGTACTTTGATTTCAATCTTCTGAACCACTTACATTATTTGTTTTCCACTGTCAGAGTTGTTATCAGGTATATGTAGCAAAGGTGTGTCAGGCAGTACATGATCCCAGTGAGAGGAACCCCCATATTCTGGATTCAAAACATCAATTCTCCCCATTGTTCCCTATCACATTCTATGACTAAGCAGCCAGCCTTGGTTCCCATTTATATGACTGGCCCACTTGTTTTTCACATTCTGCTATTTTCTGTTGACGGGCAACTTCTTAGTTTATCCAGAGAAGTCCAGTAATTCTCTTTAAATCCTTTGCCTCCTTGCCAATTCCCATTTCCTTGGGGAAGGTTGTGGCATAGTGGTAATGTCATTGGACTAGCAATCCAGAATCACAGGCAAGTGTTCTGGGCATTGGGCAGATAGTGAAATTTTAATTCAATTTAAGAAAATCTGGTGTCATGTAATTGATTGTTGTAAAGACTCGTTCAAATCACATTCTAATTCTATATCTTGGTGTCAAGTGTTTTATCTAATAATGCTGCTGTGAAGTGACTCGGCATTTTATGAATGAAACACAGTAAATATATGCAAATTGTTCTACTTCAGACTGTCCATTACACTCTACGTTCAATTACTGATCTGAGCCAAGATAGCAGGTAGCAGGATAAGTACAATTAGCCTCACCCACCCAAATTTCCAACTCCCAATTGCTATCCAGTGATTACTGCTGGAAAGTACTTGAGAATACATATGAATCAGGGATAAGTTCAACTGTTTTGCCCATCACAATAAGCTGGCCAGCTCATACCATTTGTAGGGAGAGAATAGTCATTTAGCTGAACAGTGGTCCATATGTAATATCTTGAGGCCTTGAGGGAAAGGAAGATGGTGCTCCCTGTCTGATTGTTCACAGAGCAGACTGTCAAAGTCATTTGACAGAATGCCCCTGTCGAAGAGACTACATTAAATCACACACCAAAGGCCCAGACTTTGAGGCAAAGAGATTTTATTCATGATATCACAGAGAGTCAACGCTGACAAAAGGTCAAGACTCTGACAAGCACAAAAAAGAGGCAGAATTTGTGCAGTGGTACAAACAAGTTGAAACAAACTGCAATTGTACTGTGTTTTAGCAAGGCAAGGTCATTAAAGGAAGATGATGCACCCTGTCTGATTGTTCACAGAGCAGACTGTCAAAGTCACTTGATAGAATGCCTCACCACAATAACTTTCAAACAAGTGCCAGGCCATAGCTTGGCTTGGAAAAGATTGTTCCCATTAAATCCTTACTGCATTTTCTTAATTTCAAAAGTATAATGTATTCATGAAAATACCTTTATATACACACATAATCACAGAAACAATTTGATTCTGTAGAGCAGCATATGAAGAAATAAAACAAACATTGAAGTTTGACTCTATCCAGTAAACAAACCCAAGGAATTTCTTACAAGACTATATTTATATACATTTGAGGCCCCGGGATGGTCTGAACAGACCCCCATTTAACTTCAGCAGAAAGACCTTAGACAGTGATCTAACCCCATTGTGCCTTGGCAACAGCTGCCCCAATCTTTAATATGTCCTCAGCACGTAGTCCTAGACCCTGGAATGTGCCAGTCTGCAATATTCAGTCAAAGTCAATTAATCACACCACCTCCACACAATTCCCTCAATGAGGCTCTGGTGAAGAAAAGACTGTCACCCACCTCCTTCTGGAATGTGTCTTTGCAATGTGGGTCTGAAGAAATATTCAGTGTTTTTTCGTCAAAGTTCATTTGTAAGCAAATCTGCAGTGCAGGTGTCTGTGCTCTATGAGATATTTCCAGGGATACACATCAAGACAAACATCAACTGCAGCTGGAAGACCACCAACTTGGTGAAAGATGCTCATTGGTCTGCCTAAAAAGTTGATTGTAACTGAATGTTGCAGACTTGGAAATTCCAAGGTCCAGGATAAATGCTGTGGGATGCAGTAAAACTTGGAGATGGTTCACAGACTAAGGCCCTCCTATCATAGTATTCAGGGGACCTGAAAACAGTGTTTCAGGCAGTTACTTTATCAAGGAATAGATATTGTAAACATAACATGTAATTGTAATTGTTTTGAGGCATCTCACATTGTCGTGGCTGCACGGAAAGAACTGTATCACACTTCTAATGCCCAATTTGTTGTGAAAAGTCGTTTTATAAGTTTTTATGAATAAAGTATACTCATGGGGAAAATCACCTCTTAGCTTAGGTACTGGGACACTGTGATCAAGAATGCCTTCATAAATGTCTTCATCGAGATAGGGTATGATTTAAATGGCATACTTGTGTTACTTGCGCCCCTCTCCCTCTGCTGTCAGGACTTGTAAAGTTCAGTAACAACTGTTAGACCACAGTTGATTCATGCTTATTTATGTTAACATTAACATGTGAGCTTTACATTGAAGGAGGGGGGAAGCACAAATGGAAGCTGCAATTTCAGCATTAATCAGAGTTCTTATAGACCAGTGTCCAGCTGTCACCCTCCCCTTTCTCCACCCTGACTGTAAACAGAATGAGTTTGGAAAGCAAGGATGCCATTTTCTCACTGTGCAAGAACTGCAAACCGGACTGGAGGTTAGCAAGTGCTGAGTACAATGACAGCGACACGCATTTACAGATCCTGGGCAAACCGGTGATTGAGCGCTGGGAGACTCCATGTATACACGCCCTGGCTACTGTTGCAGCCTCAAAAGAGACAGTCCGCTCTCCCTTTCAAGCAAATTCCAATCTTTTTAAATGCCATTTGGATGGAGAGGTGGTGGCAGATGAACAGTAACAAGAATAATTTCTCTTGGCATAGGAAGACGTGTTCTGGTAATTGGATTTGGATGGCAATTTCAGCCACCAAGATAGAGTAAACATTGAAAAGACTGGATCATTGAATGTAATGAAGGTGCGTTTAAAAGATTACAGGAATGGGCTAAGGATCAAACCCACAAGGTGAGGGCACAATGACTAGACATTAGATAGTGCATCATTTTAAAATGTGGCTGATTTTTTGCATGGAAACAGTAGGAATGCAGTGAATGCAACCATTCTGATTTCATTCGGGCTGATCACATTTGATTGGATTCAAAATTTTGTCACAAAGATGACGGGACAATGTTGGAATATAATTGGACGATCCAATCACATCCACAAAAAGAAAATGAATTTTGATGCAATTACGATGGGGAAATGGTAATATATTTCTAAGTCAGAATGTTGTGTGAGTTGAATGTGTTGATGCCCACGTGTACCTGCTGCATTGGTCCTTCCAGGTGGTGGATGTGAAAGCATATAAAGAATTATTGTGGTTATTATTATGTAGACAAACATTGCAAAAATCAATCAAATGTTACGGTCTGCTGAGGCATATTATCTCAAAGAAGCATAAACCATGCATGATTCATCTTGCTATTTACTCTGGCTAATTGCCCAGGACTAGTTCCATCTTTTGCCTGGAATAATGATCAATAGAAAAAAATGAACAGCAAAAAAACCCAATCATGTACAACGTGGATAATTTGGGTGGAAATTGTAGAACTCTGCTCACACAATTTACAAAGTAACATTTTGTTAAGGTCACCAATGCAGTAATTAATTTGTTTCTTGGGTGTAACTCATCATTTTGAATGTAACCTCTGCTGCATAGGGAGAGGCTGAATAGGCTGGGGCTATTTTCCCTGGAGTGTCAGCGGCCTTTTAGAAGTTTATAAAATCATGAGGCGCATGGATAAGGTAAATATACAAGGTCTATTACCCAGGGCAGGGGAGTCCAAAACTAGAGGGCATAGGTTCAAGGTGAGAGGGAAAGATTTAAAAGGGACCTAAGGGGCAACTTTTTCATGCAGAGGGTGGTGTGCGTATGAATGAACTGCCAGAGGAAATGGTGGAGGCTGGTACAGTTACAACATTTAAAAGGCATCTGGATGGGTATATGAACAGGAAGGGTTTAGAGGGATATGGGCCAAATGCTGGCAAATGGGACTAGATTTATTTAGGATATCTGGTCAGCATGGACAAGTTGGACAGAAGGGTCTGTTTCCGTGCTGTATATCTCTATGACTCTATGTTCAATAAATAATGTTTCCTAGCTGCAGTCTACAGAGTTGTAATCCTTTGAATGAGAGGTACAGCAGGCTTCAGGATCTAACTGGTATACCCCTGTTTCTGTGAGACATTAAACTCTGGTCATGACTACTTGTTAGAACACTAGACTAGAAGATAAGGGCAGAAGTAGGCGATTCAGCCTATCGAGTCTACTTCATCATTTAATAAGGTCATGTGGCTGATCTCATAATCCTCAACTCCACTTTCCTGTCTTAGTCCCATACCCTTGATACCCTTACTGATTAAAAAGTTATCTTTCTCACCCTTGAACATACTTAATGAACATACTTTCTGGTAAGGAATTCCACAGAATGACTACTTTCAGAGAGAATAAAATTCCTCCTTATCTCCTTCTTAAATGAACAATCCCTTACTGTGAGGTTATGGCTTCTGATCCCACACTCTCCCACAAGGGAAAATAACCTTTGCTCATCTACTTAGAATCTTGCAAGTTTCAATAAGGTCACCTCTTAGTCTTCCATACTCCAATGAGTACAGGCCTAATCTACTCAACCTCTCCTCAAAAGAAACTCCCGCCATATCCAGGATCAACCCAGTGAACCCGCTCTGGGCTGTCTCCATTGCCAGTATTTTTCCTTAAACAAGAGCGCCAAAATTGTTCACAGTATTCCAGCTGTGATCTGACTAGTGTCTTGTATAGTTTCAGCAAGTTCTCTCTATTTTAAAGTCCATTCACTTTGAGACAAAGGTCAAGATAATTTGCCTTCCCTATTACTGACTGAACTTGGATGCTAGCTTTTGTGATTCAAGGACCCCCAATGTGTTACAGATAGCTGCAGTCTTTCCCAATTTAGACAAATTCAATTCTTCTAACCTTCCTGCCAAAGTGCATAATGTCACATTTTCCCATATTATTCCACTTTACCATTGCCCTAGTTTTTGCCCTCTCATTTAACTCTATCCCTCTGTAGACATTTTGTCATCCTCATTCCTTGCAATTCTAATCTAGTGCTTATAATCTACAAACTTGATATTACAACAAATGTTTCATTAACTGGCACCTAGGGACCAGGAGTGTGCCATTGATCAGATATTCCTTTTGATCAAGAGGTCCACATAATCAATGTAAAAACAAACATTAACTAATAGAAATGTAATGCAGAGGGTAGACACGTCAATGTAATACTTTGTTTACAGCATAAATGATTTAAATAATAATGCAACTTTGCCTTACATGAAACTTAATGGCAGAGAGCCTTCTCACTTGCACCCTCAACTGACTACTCTGAGATCATGGTAATAAAGTAAACTTCTGGTATTTCAGGGATATAATTTTTGTCAGTTTATCGAGAGTACCAGTTCATTAAGATGCCGGTTAAAACAAAGTATGCTGTAGTATATTCACTCGGTCCTCCAAGTCATTAATATATATTTGAATATCTATGGCCCTGGCACTGATCCTTGTGAAATCCCTTCGTTCCAGGTTGTCATCCTGGAAATGTACCCATTATCTAAACTATCTCACTTCTATTCATTAGCAAATCCTCCACCATGTAACATACTATTGCCAACATCATGGGCCCTTATCTTAATAAAACAGCCTTATGTGTGGTACCTTCTTGAATGCCTATTGGAATTCCAAATATCTTACATCTACTAGTTTCCCTTCATCCATCCATCCATCTATCTATCTACCTATTTATCTATCTATCTTTATCTGTTCTGTTGGCTTAGATGAATGCTAAAGATCACCCTGGACTTGAGAAAGAATCAGAAATTCTCCTTGAATCATGGCCAATAGTCCTACTTTAAAAAACACCATTGCAGTAGAATTCCTTCATCTAAGTGCTGGTAAGAGAGTCATAGAGCAATAGAGTTATACAGCACAGAAACAGACCTTTTGGTCCACCACATCCATGCTGACCAAATATCCTAAATTAATTTAGTCCCATTTGCCAGTATTTGGCCCAAATCCCTCTAAACCCTTCCTATTCATATCTGTTTCAGAGATAGTAGGAACTGCAGATGCTGGATAATCTGAGATTCCTTAGAAGGAATCAGAAAACCTCATAAAACCAAGCGGAGGCTTGGGGACCGCTTTGCAAAAAACCAAGCGGAGGCTTGGGGACCGCTTTGCAGAAACCAAGTGGAGGCTTGGGGACCGCTTTGCAGATCTGCTGTTCCCGTTGTGGCCTCCTCTACATCGGGGAAACTGAACGGAGGCTTGGGGACCGCTTTGCAGAACACCTACGCTCGGTTCGCACTAAACAACTGCACCTCCCAGTCGCAAACCATTTCAACTCCCCCTCCCATTCGTCAGACGACATATCCATCCTGGGCCTCCTGCAGTGCCACAACGATGTCACCTGAAGGATGCAGGAACAGCACCTCATATTTCGCTTGGGAACCCTGCTGCCCAATGGTATCAATGTGGACTTCACAAGCTTCAAAATCTCCCCTCCCCTAACCGCATCCCAAAACCA